AAACTTGCATTAGTGGTAACAGGCTAATTGGCTGTGATAATAAAGAATTAAAGCGACTAGATACCGATTAATGCTAAGCGAGGCGTCTTCGTAAAGAAGTTGTTTGATCTTGCTTTCGCAACATGGTCATATTGTCAAAGAGACCTAAAGGAACGAATCTTGTTCGGAGTCCATACTATGTAAGATAATTTCCAATCGGATCATGCACTTGGCACATTTCCAGACGGTTTGCCGACATAACATAAGGTTGAGAAAATGGATTTCCCTGGAGTTTATTGCATAAAATGCGGCAACTCTAAGCAGAAATATATTGAGGAAAAAGGAAGAAAAATCAACATACGGATCAAGGAGCACCAAAGACCCTGAAGAAACATGGATGCGGAAATATCCGAGATAACGGAACACATTGCACGGGCACGACATGAAATGGACTGGAAATGGACAGAAAGACTGGCTACATATGGTGAAATTACAAGAAAACGCAAGATACGAAAAGCTATCGATATCCTGAATGAAAGGGATTTAATGAATAGGAGATTTAAGGGTGGGATTAGCGAAAAATTTTGATATTTCCTAAACCCAGAGATCATAAAACACCAATATAAGCAAAAATAAAACAACTATATCAAGTGGATATTTTCAATTTAAGGAAGATAAGATCACAGAGGAACAATCAGGAACCAAGAGGAGACGTCTACAGTGAGCCTACTCAAAGCAAGTAGGACTTTCACAAGACACACATAAAACACTAAGACATAAGAAAGTCAAAAAGTTGGTGCTATGGATAGAAGAGAGAGAGAAGCGACGGAGAACATGGATAGTTGGCTATTAATAGATGAGTTTGATGATAAACGTGATCCGTGAAGTAAAGGCGAATCTGTATAATAAAGTTAGTTTTGCACCCAGCTTGAGAATAAAGACGTTTAGGGCGGAGCAAACTCCAGTCTTGGATCAAAACCAACAGTACAATGGGGGAAGGATGAGGAAACCAGCGGAGAGAGTAAATAGATCTGACTAAATCTACTCAAAAGGGCATACCTCAACTAGGTTTAGATAAACAAGTAAGAAATTGTTATAGTGAAAGGGTGTCGTGAGGATATGGGATAGATGCATACAACAGGTCAGGAGAGATATCACAACTGTTTAGTGGATACTTGGTCAAAGGATCAACTACACTTGTCTCTGGCGAATTGTGATATGGTGTTAGGAACGGCAAGCCACATTGACGATGCCAACAAAGTGATGAACCAAATCCAGGAAACGATTCTGTGAATTATCATGCATATTCTGGACTCAGGACAAGTTGCGTTCCTCTAGTTCCATTTTACAATATAACCAAGCTGCGAGAACAAGTTCAATCAACTTCTATACAAAGAGAGGAAATCGCGACCATACTAAAGGTTACACCATCTTGATGTTCATACCCTCGAGGATTCTTGGTGTTTAGGAAATTGAAGTGGAATTGTCTGCGATAAAAATTAGGCCTTTTTAATTGATTTCGCTAAGAAGAATGTGCCTTAGCTGTAAAACTAAGCAATAACGAATACATAGAACAAACCGGGTGGCCAAATTGTTTGTACTATGACAATGTTCCGAATAAATAAATAGATAAAGTTAAAACCTCACAAATTGCTTAATTTAGTAAGGAACAGATAAAATTTGTAAAGATAAATAGCCAGGTCCCAAAGCTATCAATTGTAAAAAATATAGAAGTGGGACCTACTTTAGCTTCCTTCGGATAGCGGCCCGTTTTGGTTGAGGGTGCAATAGGTAGGATCAAGCGAAACAGTGTAGTTAATCGGTCCTCTACGGAAGCCTGTTGGATACCAACTTGGCTTTGTGGAGAGGTCTCCCCATCATTTGTCTCGCCCAAGCCACTTTGGTTGTCCAAGGGATGTTCATATGAGGACTTCCCAGAGGCGTCCGATTTAACTTCAGCCTTTGCCTAAGCAGAAATATCAAGAAAATTGTTAGAGAATGAAGCAGTAATAATGGAGGTTTACATTTGGATTCCAAAAAATCCTTTACATCAAGACGAATTTTGCTGTACTCATTTCACGCTAAAAAGTTGAGAAGGGATTTGGAGGTCGTCACTATGAAGACAAAGGTATAAAGTTTGGGTTAGTCAGAGTTTCTAGATTGGACTTAATTTTCGAGTTATTAAAATATACTAATAAAAATTAGTTAGTAAAATTTTGGACTAATAATTATCCCATTTTAATTTTTGATTGCATAAAAAAACTCGACAACTTTTCTGCTTTAAAAAGTCTCGCCTTTAATTCGTTTAAAGGTATTTATAAGAATTCCTTTATCATTAACCTTCTAAAGTTTACAACAGCTGAAATTTGTCAGTTTGTGTGGCACCATACCTACTGTCGATTATTAATCTCAATTGTGCCTCACCTATGCACAGCTTCGGATAACTGTATGATGTCAGTGATATTTATTGCCCTGTTAGTGCTGAAACAAGTGACAACCTATCAATTTCCACATACATATTTCTTTCTTTTAGCATATCCTACAGCATTCCCTCAAACTTCGCTGCTGGTTCTTTTTTTAGCATAAAATAGTTTGTTTTCTCAGGATATATTTATCATTTTTTCAATATATTAGTACTCTCTCTTCTATGCTTGTAACAATGGTTACAGATTATATAATTATATATTATACTATGTCAAAATTTTCAGGATTGCTATTTCAGGTTTTGCATATTCTAGTAACCTCCCGGAGGCATTTAAGACCTCC